CGGAGACACGTAGAGATACATAGAAACACGTAGAGATACATAGAGATACATAGAGACACCTAGAGATACATAGAGATACATAGAGACACACAGAGACACGTAGAGATACACAGAGACACATAGAGACACACGGAGACACATAGAGATACATAGAAACACACGGATACACATAGAGATACACAGAGACACGTAGAGATACATAGAGACACACGCAGATACACGGAGATACACGGAGATACACAGAGACATACTGAGACCCACAGAGACTCACAGAGACTCACAGAGACACACTGTGGTGGTGGTGGAGGTGGTGGTGATGGTGGTGGTGGGGGTGATGGGGGTGGTGATGGTGGTGATGGTCGTGGTGGGGGTGGTGGTGGTGGTGGTGATGGGGGTGGTGATGGTTGTGATGGTGGTGGTGGGGGTGATGGGGGTGGTGGTGGGGGTGGTGGTGGTGGTGGGGGTGGTGGTGGGGGTGATGGGGGTGGTGATGGTGGTGATGGTCGTGGTGGGGGTGGTGGTGGTGGTGGTGATGGGGGTGGTGATGGTTGTGATGGTGGTGGTGGGGGTGATGGGGGTGGTGGTGGGGGTGGTGGTGGTGGTGGGGGTGGTGGTGGGGGTGATGGGGGTGGTGATGGTGGTGGTGGTGGAGGTGGTGGGGGTGGTGGTGGTGGTGGGTGTGGTGATGGTGGTGGTGGTGGAGATGTGGCTAGTGGTGATGTTAAGGCTACACGGGGGATCTTTTTCTCGTCTAAGTGTTGGTGTGTACCTGTTGTTTGTGTGTCTGTTTGTTTTTAGGGAGACAAAGGCGGCCGGGCGTGGTGGTGCTGGCCACCCACCCCCCTCTGTCAGTGCCACAGTGCCGGTAGCCTTCATAGGTAGCGCTGCTACACGCTAACAGCACTTGCCCCTGCAGCCTGGTACGGGCTACACGGGGGATCTTTGTCTTGTTTGTGTGTGTCTGTGTGTGTCTGGGTGTCTGTGTCTGCGTGTGTGTGTGTCTGTGTGTGTGTCTGTGTGTGTGTGTCTGTGTGTGTGTCTGTGTGTGTCTCTGTGTCTGTGTGTGTGTGTCTGTGTGTGTGTCTGTTTGTCTGTGTGTGTGTGTCTGTGTGTCTCTCTGTGTCTGTGTGTCTGTGTGTGTCTGTGTCTATGTGTCTGTGTGTGGGGGGGTGAAGGTCTGTGTGGTGGCGGTGTGGGTAGAGAGGGGGGTTCCACATTTCGCAAGAGTACCCCAACACACACAAGCGCGAACACACACACAAAGACACACACACAGACATACACACACAGACACACACACACACAAACACACAGACACGCACACAGACACACAAAGACACACAGACATACACACACAAACACACACAGACACACACAAACACACACAAACACACACAGACACACACACAAACAGACACATACACACACAGACACACACAGACACACAAAGACACACACACAGACATACACATACAGACACACACAGACACGCACAAACACACACAAACACACAAAGACACACATACAGACACACACAAACACACACAAACACACAGACACGCACACAGACACACAAAGACACACACACAAACACACACAGACACACACACAGACACACACACAAACACACACACACAGACACACACACAGACATACACACACAGACACACAAAGACACACACACAGACACACACAGACACACAATCACACACAAACACACAGACACGCACACAGACACACAAAGACACACACACAGACATACACACAAACACACACAGACACACACAAACACACACAAAGACACACACACAGACATACACACACAGACACACAATCACACACAAACACACAGACACGCACACAGACACACAAAGACACACACACAGACATACACACACAAACACACACAGACACACACAAACACACACAGACATACACACACAGACACACAAACACACACAGACACACACAGACACACAAAGACACACACAGACATACACACACAGACACACGAACACACACAAACACACAGACACGCACACAGACACACAAAGACACACACACAGACAGACACACACAAACACACACAAACACACGGACATACACACACAAACACACAAACATACACACACAAACACACAAACACACACACACAAACACACAAACACACAGACACACACACACAAACATTCTCACAACGAACAAGATGACATCCTGAAGAGCCATAGAAACTCACCTCCCTCCCTCCCCCACGTGTTTCTCATCTCAAAGAGAATTTGCTCGCCACTTGAAAGGATTTGGACACCCCCCGCTCCTCTCACCTGGGTGCGTGCGGGTGGGGGTCCAGGATGTTCCATACAGGTGATTCCCCCATAAAGACAAAGGGTCACCCTGCAGCCGGTATAGCCTCTGACTTGCAATGGGTCAAGTGTTGTGGTCGGTAGCGACTTCGATTTGGTGAAAAGTTTATTTTTTATTTTTTTATTCTCCCAACGGATATTGCCGTCGGCGATCTGCTTCGCGATTAAAGCGATTGAAGACAAACTTCAGTTCAATATCGATTATGTTGTGTGATGGAGCATTAGTACGTGACGCCAGCTAAATTTGAACCGCTCTTTCATATTCTAATGCAAGGATGTGAACTTGGAGGGTGTGAATTGCTTCCGAAGTGCACTTATGAAAATGTTTTAATCGAAACCGAACAATCGGACATAGAACAATTGTTAACTCTAGATGTGAAGATTTCGTGACTGCAAGGATTCATATTCCTAGGTTTTTTCGGTGAAGTCACCAGGTAGGTAAAATATTAAAATTAATAAAAGTAAAAAAAAATCACGACGTTTCGGAGGCAACACAAGCTTCCGTCTTCAGGTGGAACCGTCACAGCCACGACAGCTGTATCAAGTGAATGAAAGATTGCAAGAGCTACCACTCCGTTATTATTATTATACCATTATATATTTTTTAATTTGAATGTTTTACCTACACGGTGACTTTACCGAAACAATTGTTAAGTTGATTAAATGAAGTTATAACAATAATTTAATAAAACATTTACAATAAGAAAGTAACACGGCTTTTGAAATCGCAAAAAAACTCGCAGCCTTTGTGATTTGCTAATCGCGTTGTTTCAAATTGCGATTATTCGATTTGAAATCGATGAATTAAAACGATTAATCGATTTGAAATCGATTAAATCGTTCAGCCCTACTTCGAAGGCACGCACAGAGGGCGAGTTTGTCTCCCCACACAGCACACCGACAACACACACACGGACACACACACAGACACACACACAGACACACACACACACTGACACACATACATAGACACATACACAGACATACACACACTGACACACATACACAGACACACACACAGACACACACACTGACACACTGACACACACAGACATACAGAAACACACACAGACAACACACACACAGACACACACACACAACACACACAGACAACACACACACAGACACACATACACAACACACACAGACAACACACACAGACACACATACACAGACACACAGACACACACACACTGACACACTGACACACACAGACATACAGACACACACACACTGACACACACCTACACACATATACAGACACACAACAACAACCGCCATTCGCCACTAAGTGGCGGTGACGTCACCACGATGCTTGTGCCAGGCCAAGTGCACCTTGAGGCCACGTGAAGTGTCGAAAGCCCGCTGGCAGGAGGTCACGGGGCAGACCCAGGTGCCACTGGTCGACTGACCGAGATGACCGAGATGACTGGCTGATGCACCACCTGTGCCCCCTACTGTGCCAACTTGCTGTGCTTTAGCCACCCGGCGCTCCGCTCGTTGTTGTGAGCGTCGCTCCTCCGCCCTCCGTTGTTGTTGGAGGGCGACTGCCTCCAACTGCCCAGTAGCGTCCTTCACGAGCCTCCTCCACTGAGGCCGATCTTGACACCGCTGGTACCAGTCATCGGCAAGTCCACTCAGCTCCACGTCCTCCTGTACCACATCGCTCCATCTCTTCTCCAGCCCGTGCCGCGCCCGTCTAGCCCCCTCGATCCTGCCGAACAAAAGCTGTTTAGGCATGCGGTGGCTGGGCATGCGGGCTACATGACCCAGCCAACGCAGCCTTGCCTGCCGGAGAAGCTCACCGACGGGACTTTGCCCAGATATTTCAAGGAATTGTGAGCACCTCACTGATTCGGAGTGAGATATCTGCTGTTAAACCGGAGCCGGTCATGAGCACACTGCCCAGGTATGGGAAACTCTCCACTCTCTCCACAACTGCCCCATCACCGATTGGGAGTTGTGGGGGTGGAGTGTCCGATGGTACAAAATACCCAGGCAGGTGCTTCGTTTTGGTGGGGCTGATGGTAAGGCCCCACCTCTTAGTGGCATGCTCCAGTTTCAGCAGCAGTGCCTCCAACTCCTCCTCTGAGTGAGCAGAAATGGACCAGATCATCGGCATACATAACGTGGTTGAGCAATAGGGAGCCATCCCTTGACCGTACCCGGGCATCGATCAGCGTCCCATTGTATCTGTACCAGATGGAAATTCCTCCGGTACAGCTATTGAAGGCTTCACGAACTACGCGGTCAAAATAAATGTTAAATAATGTGGGAGCCAGAGGACATCCCTGTCGCACCCCAAGGTGTACAGGAAATTGCTCTGACTCCCGGCCACGTAGTTTTACCCGGGCCCGCTCACCATCATAAAGGTCCTTAATGATCGTGAGCAGAGGGTCAGGGACTCCGAAAGCACAAAGAACAACCCAGAGCCCAGACCTATTGATGACTTCATAGGCCTTGACCAGGTCAATAAAGCAGAGATGTAGGTCTTGTGGGAAATCCCTACACCTTTGCTGTAGCAGACGGACATAAAATACGCCCACACACACACACCCACACGCCTACACACGTACACACACACATACACAAATACACGCCCACACACACACACCTACACACACACACACACGCCAATATATACACACACACACCTTCACACACACACGCCCACACACACGTGTGTAAAGTCGTCTATAAATGCGAAGTTTTTGCCAGAGGTTTCAAACACGGCCAGTGGAGACCTGGCGAGAGACACGAAAAGTGAGTGAGTGTTTCAACATGGACCACCATCATCATCATTGTTGTTACCATCACCATCATCACCATCATCACCATCACCATCATTGTTACCATCATCATCACCATCATCATCACACCATAATCGTCATCATTGTTAACATCATCATCACCATAATCATCATTGTTACCATCATCACAATCATCGTTACCATCATCACCATCATCACCATCATCATTGTTACCATCATCACCATCATCACCATCATCATCACAGCCACCATCATCACCATCATCATCACCATCATTATCATCACCGCAACCATTATCATTGTTACCATCATCACTACCATCATCATCACCGCAACCATCATCATTGTTACCACCATCACCACCATCACCACCATCATCACCACCATCACCACCATTATTACCATCACCACGACAACCACCATCATCACTACCACCACCATTACCACCATCATCACTAACATCATCATCACCAACACCACCATCATCATCACCGCAACCATCATCATTGTTACCACCATCACCACCACCACCATCACCACCGTCATTACCACGACAACCACCATCATCACCATCACCACCATCACCACCACCACCATCATCACCACCGCCGTCACTGTGTGTGCCACAAAGCCTGTAGCCTTCATGTGTGCTGCTACTCGCTAACAGCACTTGCCCCAAACGTTCGCTCGGGCTACACGGGAGAACTTTGTTTTTCTGTGTGTCTTCGGGGGGAGCGGTGGCGCAGTGGTTAGCGCCGAACTGCGCTGGGTGAGTGAGTGGTTGAGTGAGTGGGTGAGTGAGTGAGTGGGTGAGTGGGCAAGTGAGTGGGTGTTTGTGTGAGTGGGTGAGTGAGTGGGTGAGTGAATGAGTGGGTGGTTGAGTGAGTAGGTGATTGAGTGGGTGAGTGAGTGGTTGAGTGAGTGGGTGAGTGGGTGAGTGAGTGAGTGGGTGAGTGAGTGGGTGTTTGTGTGAGTGGGTGAGTGAGTGGGTGAGTGAATGAGTGGGTGGTTGAGTGAGTAGGTGAGTGAGTAGGTGAGTGAGTAGGTGAGTGAGTGGTTGAGTAAATGGTTGAGTGAGTAAGTGGGTGAGTCAGAGAGTGGGTGAGTGAGTGAGTGGGTGAGTCAGAGAGTGGGTGAGTGGGTGAGTGAGTGGGTGAGTGAGTGGGTGAGTGAGTGGGTGAGTGAATGAGTGCGTGGTTGAGTGGGTGGTTGAGTGGGTGGTTGAGTGAGTAGGTGAGTGAGTAGGTGAGTGAGTAGGCGAGTGAGTGGTTGAGTGAGTGAGTGGGTGAGTTTAATGAGCGGGCAGGCGAGGCGCGCGCAAGGAGTGGTGGTGCAGCGGTTAACACCGGTGACGATGATCTTGAACCGGTCCTGGGGTCCTCTCGCTAGGTCGACTCAACGACTCGAACTCTTCCTGCAAGAACCGGTAGTTATCTTCACGTGACAGCGAGGATGCAGCACCATCAACACCATCACCACCATCGCCATCACCATCATCTGCTGAGGCTGCTGATGGTGATGCTGACGGTGGTTCTCATGGCCACGGAAATCGTCGGTTCATCTCAAATACGAGGTGAGCGCAGATTCCGTGGACACACACAACAACACACACACACACAACCACACACACAACCACACAATCACACATACAATCACACACACACAGACACACACACAACTACATACACACACAATCACATACACAATCACACACAATCACATACACAATCACATACACAATCACATACACAATCACACACAATCACATACACACAACCACACACACACACAATCACATACACAATCACACACAATCACATACACAATCACATACACAATCACATAACACAATCACACACAATCACATACACAATCACATACACAATCACACACAATCACATACACAATCAATTACACAATGACATACACAACCACAACACACACAATCACACACACACTCACATACACAATCACACACACTCACACACACAACCACACACACAACCACACACACAATCACACACACACACAATCACCCCCCCCACACACACACAATCACCCCCCCCCCCACACACACACACACAATCACCCCCCCCACCCTCTCGCCCCCCATGCCCGCGGGCCCAGGGCAGACGGCCAAGCCCTGCGTGAGCACGCAGCCTCGCTGATGTTGTCAGCCGAGACGATGTCACGACGTAATATTACATTAACTTTTGAACTTTAAACTTTCGTGACTGCAGCAATTCATATTCTGCGATTCTTTCCGTCAAGACACGTGGATTGAAAATGCAATGAAATAAATTAAAAAGAGATTTTTTTACATATATATATTATTTTTATTATCACGTCTATATAAAATGAAAGAAAACTTTTTATCAAAATTATATCTATTTTTTAAATATATATTCTGATTATCACTTAGAAAATAAAATAAATAAAATGCTAAAAATAATATCTCTTTTTAAATACGTAATTTTCCTTATCACTTGGAAAATAAAAGATAAAAAATGATAAAAAATATATCTATTTTCAAATATATAATTTAGATTATCACTTAGATATACAATAAAATAAAATAATAATAAAAATAATATTTTTTTAAATATGTCATTTTTATTATCACTTAGAAAATAAAAGAAATAAAATGATAAAAAATAACAACATCTATTTTCAAATATATACATTTTATTATCGCTTAGAAAATAAAAGAAACAAAATACTAGAAATATCTATTTTTAATATATATAATTTTGATTATCACTTAAAAAATAAAAGAAATAAAATAAAAATAATATTATATCTATTTTAAAATATATATTTTTGATTTTCACTTAGATACACAATAAAGAAAATAATGAAAAAAATAATATAATTTTTTTACATATCTAATTTTGATTATTACTTAGATATAAAAAAAACTAATATATATTTCAATATATCTAATTTTGATCATCACTTAGAAAAAAAAAACAATAATATAATTTTTTTTACATATCTAATTTTAATTATCACTTAGATATTAAAAAAAAATAAAACAAAATATTTTTTAATATACATAATTTCATTATCACTTAGATAAAAAATACAAACCTAACACGACTAATAGAAATTAAACGATTAATTCGTTATGTATCTTTGTTTTTACCGAATTCTCTGCAGTCACGAAAGTTTTGAGTGGAAATTTACAATCGATTACTTTGGCGATGTTCATCGATTACTTTGCCAATGTTCATTGAATACTGGCGTGCTCAAGAATGACGAATCCGAAAGTAGATTTGATTACGCAGAATAATCTAGAAGAGAAATAGTATAGCATAGTAATTATATAGATTGGTAACAATATAGAATAGTATCATTGTCGTTGTTGTTGTTCACACAGAGAGCCATAGACTCATCACACAGAGAGCCATAGACTCACCACACAGAGAGCCATAGACTCATCACACAGAGAGCCATAGACTCACCACACAGAGAGCCATAGACTCATCACACAGAGAGCCATAGACTCACCACACAGAGAGCCATAGACTCATCACACAGAGACCCATAGACTCATCACACAGAGAGCCATAGACTCATCACACAGAGAGCCATAGACTCACCACACAGAGAGCCATAGACTCATCACACAGAGAGCCATAGACTCACCACACAGAGAGCCATAGACTCATCACACAGAGACCCATAGACTCACCACACAGAGAGTCATAGACTCATCACACAGAGAGCCATAAACTCACCACACAGAGAGCCATAGACTCATCACACAGAGAGCCATAGACTCACCACACAGAGAGCCATAGACTAATCACACAGAGACCCATAGACTCATCACATAGAGAGTCATAGACTCATCACACAGAGAGCCATAGACTCATCACACAGAGACCCATAGACTCACCACACAGAGAGTCATAGACTCATCACACAGAGAGCCATAGACTCATCACACAGAGAGCCATAGACTCATCACACAGAGACCCATAGACTCACCACACAGAGAGTCATAGACTCATCACACAGAGAGCCATAGACTCATCACACAGAGAGCCATAGACTCACCACACAGAGACCCATAGACTCATCACACAGAGAGTCATAGACTCATCACACAGAGAGCCATAGACTCACCACACAGAGACCCATAGACTAATAACACAGAGAGCCATAGACTCATCACACAGAGAGCCATAGACTCATCACACAGAGACCCATAGACTAATCACACAGAGAGCCATAGACTCATCACACAGAGAGCCATAGACTCATCACACAGAGACCCATAGACTCACCACACAGAGAGCCATAGACTCACCACACAGAGACCCATAGACTCATCACACAGAGAGCCATAGACTCACCACACTACACCACACTACACCACACTACACTCACACCACACCACACTCACACCACACCACACTCACACCACACCACACTCACACCACACCACACTCACACCACACCACACTCACACCACACCACACTCACACCAGAGATCCACAGACTCATCACACAGAGATCCATAGACTCTAAAGAAAGCTGTCTCTGGTGTGGACCAATCAGTTTCAAAGACAATGCCATTTATTTTGAGAGCATGTTTTTTGTTTGCATTCTGACCACAAGTTATTGTGCTTAATGCAGACATGATTCCTCGTAAAAAAAAATTCAGTTTGGTGTTTTAACATCGTAACAGAGCTGTTTATTGCCAGACAGAAGAGGAAAATCGATTCTCGACCCCCAATACCGCCCCATCGATCATCTCCAGACACACAGACAAAGATCCCCCATATAGCCTTAGCAGACTGTAGGGGCAAGTGCTGTTGGCGAGCACCTATGAAAGCCAGCACCACGCCCGACCGCCTTTGTCTCCCCAGCGGCGATGTTTACACACCGCTACACCAGGTACTCATTTGAGGCTGAGTCGACCTAGGGGATGCCCAGGATCGGTTCAGATAATCGTCACCGGTGGTGTTGGCCGTGAGCGGGAATTGAGCGCAGCGTAGCGCTAACCACTACACCCACCGCTCCCCCTAGAGACACAAACAACAACAACCGCCATTCGCCACTAAGTGGCGGTGACGTCACCACGACGCTTGTGCCAGGCCATGTGCACTTTGAGGCCACGTGAAGTGTCGAACGCCCGCTGGCAGGAGGTCACGGGGCAGACCCAGCAGGTGCCACGGGTCGACTGACCGAGATGACCGAGATGACTGGCTGATGCACCACCTGTGCCCCCTACTGTGCCAACTTGCTGTGCTTTAACCACCCGGCGCTCCGCTCGTTGTTGTGAGCGTCACTCCTCCGCCCTCCGTTGTTGTTGGAGGGCGACTGCCTCCAACTGCCCAGTAGCAGCGTCCTTCACGAGCCTCCTCCACAGAGGCCGACTGACCGAGATGACCGAGATGACTGGCTGATGCACCACCTGTGCCCCCTACTGTGCCAACTTGCTGTGCTTTAGCCACCCGGCACTCCGCTCGTTGTTGTGAGCGTTGCTCCTCCGCCCTCCGTTGTTGTTGGAGGGCGACTGCCTCCAACTGCCCAGTAGCAGCGTCCTTCACGAGCCTCCTCCACAGAGGCCGACTGACCGAGATGACCGAGATGACTGGCTGATGCACCACCTGTGCCCCCTACTGTGTCAACTTGCTGTGAGACAGACACACAGACACACACACACACAGAGAGATGGGACGCTGTCGAACTCTGACCGTGTCTCCCCAGGGCTGGAGGAGGTAGAGGATGTGGAGGTGCAGGATGAGGTGCAGGAGGAGATGGGGCATCGGAGTCACAGCCAGGCAAACGAGCGTCTCCTCCGCTCCGTGCTGCACGAGGCGATGGCTACGGTCAACGGAGCCTACAAATACTCACGTGACAGGTATGGTGTGAGTGTGGTGTGGTGTGAGTGTGGTGTGAGTGTAGTGTTGTGTGGTGTAGTGTGGCGTGGTGTAGCGCACAGACTGTAACAACTACAGGGGCGTCTCACTCCTCAGTGTGCCGGGAAAGGTCCTGGCAAGGAAATTTAAATTAATAACAAATAAAATAATAAAATCATGATTTTTAAAATCATGATTTTTAAAATCATGATTTTTATTATTTTTTTATTAATTTTAATTTCATTTTTTACCTACGTGACTTTACCGAAAGAACTAAGAGTATGAATCCTTGCAGTCACGAAAGCTTCAAATATAGAATTATTAAACATCGCCTTGCCAGGCACGCTGAGGAGGGGCTTGCGGAGCCCCAATGCTGTTTCAGGAAAGGGTGGTCCTGCACGGATGCCATATTTTATGTCCGTCTGCTACAGCAGAGGTGTAGAGAATTCCAACAAGACCTGCATCTCTGCTTTATTGACCTGGTCAAGGCCTATGATACCATCAGTAGGCCTGGGCTATGGGTTGTTCTTCATGCTTTCGGAGTCCATGACCCTCTGCACACGATCATTAAGGACCTTCATGATGGTGAACGAGCCCAGGTAAAACTACGTGGCCGGGAGTAAGAACCATTCCCTGTACACCTTAGAGTGCGACAGGGATGTCCTCTGGCACCCACATTATTTAACATCCATTTCGGCCACGTAGTTCGTGAAGCCTTCAATAGCTGTACATATACAATGGGAGGCTGATCGATGCCCGGGTGCGGTCCAGGGATGGCTCCCTATTGGTCAACCACGTTATGTATGCCGATGATCTGGTAATTGCTGCTCACTCAGAGGAGGAGTTGGAGGCACTGCTGCTGAACCTGGAGCTTGCCACTAAGCGGTAGGGCCTTACTATCAGCCCCACCAAAACTAAGCATCTGCCTGGGCATTTTGTACCATCGGGCACTCCACCCCCACAACTTCCAATTGATGATGGGGCAGTTGTGGAGAGAGTGGAGAGTTTCCCATACCTGGGCAGTGTGTGTCTAAGAGAGAGAGAGAGAGATGCGCACTCATCCCTAGGGTGCGGTATGTACACAATGTGTGAAATGCAGGCTGGGGAGGGAGATTGATGTGTGAGGCTCAGGGCGTCGTGAACTGCGGTGATTTATCGTCGTATTCTTGTGTAAAACTTTGTTTGACTTTAGTAGACAAAGCCACCACCGCCACCACTACTACCACCACCACCGCCACCGCCACCACCACCTCCACCACCACCACCACCACCAAATAACCACCATGCCCACGAGCACCACCCAACACCACAACTACCACCACCATCCCCACGACCACCACCATCCCCAACACCATCCCCACCACCCACCCCACTCACTCACTCACCCACCAACCCACCAACCCACCCACCACCACCCCCACCACCACCCACTCACCCACCCACCACCACCCACCCACCCATCCACCCACCACCCCACCAACCCACCCACTCACCCACCCACTGACCCACTCACCCACTCACCCACCCACCCACCCAACCACCACCCACCCAACCCACCCACCCACTCACCCACCCACCCACCCACCACCCACCCACTCAATCCACCACCAACCCACCCACCACCCCAACACCACCCACCCAACCCACCCACCCATTGCCTCTGCCCCCCACCACCCACCCAACCCACCCACCCATTGCCTCTGCCCCCCACCACCCCACCACTCAACGCACCCAACCCACCCACCCATTGCCTCTGCCCCCCACCACCCCACCACCACCCACCCATTGCCTCTGCCCCCACCACCACCCACCCCACCCATCCACCCACTCACCCACCCACTACCCCACCACCACCCATCTACCCATTCACCCACCCACCACCACCCACCCATTGCCTCTGCCCCCCCACCACCCACCCAACCCACCCACCCATTGCCTCTGCCCCCCACCCACCCAACCCACCCACCTATTGCCTCTGCCCCCCACCACCCACCCACCCACCCCACCCACGCATTGCCTCTGCCCCCCACCCACCCAACCCACCCACCCATTGCCTCTGCCCCCCACCCACCCACCCAACCCACCCATTGCCTCTGCCCCCCACCACCACCCACCCAACCCACCCACTCACCCACCCACTACCCCACCACCACCCACCTAACCCACCCACCCATTGCCTCTGCCCCCCACCACCACCCACCCAACCCACCCACCCATTTCCTCTGCCCCCCACCCACCCAACCCACTCACCCACCCACTCACCCACTCACCCACTCACCCACCCACCACCACCCCACCACCCACCCAACCCACCCACTCACCCACAACCCCACCCACCCACCCACTCACTCACCCACCCACTACCCCACCACCACCCACCACCCACCCAACCCACCCACCCATTACCTCTGCCCCCCACCCCCACCACCCCCCCAGAGTGAAGAGCCGCCTGGCGACCCGCGACGCGTCCCCCTCGGACCTTCTGGCCTTCTTCAAGCAGCCGGCGGGCGCCACCCGCACGGCCGTGAGAGCCGCCGAGGCTCTTGACGTCACCCTGAGCCTCCTACTCCCACGTCGCGCCAGGAGGGACCTCCACGGCACCGGTAGGGGGGAGGGGGTGGGGGTGGGGGGGGAGGGGAGGGGGTGGGGGTGGGGGGAGGGGGTGGGGGGGGGGGAGGGGGAGGGGGGAGGGGTGGGGGTGGGGGGGGGTGGGGGCGGGGGAGGGCAGGGGAGATGGGAGGGGGGAGGGAAGGGGGTGGGGGTGGGTGAGGGGGTCGGGGGTGGGGGGAGCGGGGAGAGAGGGAGAGGGGAAGGGGGGAGGGGAAGGGGGTGGGGGGAGGGAGGGGGAGGGGGAGGGGGTCGGGGGAGGGTGGAGGGGGTGGGGGAGGGGGAGGAAGGGGGTGGGGGGAGAGGGGAGGGAAGGGTGGGGGAGGGGGTGGGGGAGGGGGTTGGGGGGAGGGAGGGAGGGGGAGGTGGGGAGGGGGGCTCTATCCGCTGCTGGCTGAATGCATCACGGCATATACTAATAATAATTTTACAACTGGTCAACACACTTTTTCTGGCATAAGGTTTATTCCACACAGTTTTAAGGTAATTTTGGGGTGCCGATTCCAAATCTGGCATCAGTTTTTGTCCATCACATCAGGTTTTTTGAGATATCAAATATTGTATTTTCAATAAAAGCTGCAGAAGAAAAATATTAAATAAATGTGGATATCTACATAAAATTATATTATAAACACACTATCCTAAAAACACAGCACCGTATTTTAACACTAAAGCAGTCACTGACTCGCAACAACTTGCAATCATAAGTGACAGAGTTAATTTCGGGTAAAATCAATGAAAATGGGGTATGCCGACAGCATAAAAATGAGATGTGATGGAGCAAATCTGAGATCAGATTTGGAATCAGCACCCTGAAATTAGTCTAGAACAGCTGCAAAAGTCCAGGCCAGAAAAAAATGTTTTTGTTGTTGTTGACCAGTGTTATCATTAGCTTGAGGAGGAGCGTTTAGCCTGTAGCGGTTGTTTCCAATCGATGTCTCCGTTGGTCTTCCCCTATCGCCGCAGACTTCCTGAGTCCCCAGGACCTGGCCACGATAGAGCGCGTCACCGGCACATTGATGCTAATCACAGTGCATCACGGCGTATAGTAATACTGATCATTATTATTAGTACGAGTAGCAGCGTTAGCCTGTAGCGGTTGCTTCTAATCGATGTCTCCGTTGGTCTTCCCCTATCGCCGCAGACTTCCTGAGTGCCCAGGACCTGGCCACGATAGAGCGCGTCACCGGCTGTGGTGCTCAGCTACAGATACCGCGATGCTCCTCCGATTGCTTCAGCGACAAATACCAGGCACACAACTCGGAGTGCAACAACCGGTAACATCAACATCAATATCAACATCAATATCAACATCATCAACATCATCAACAACATCATCATCAACATCATCAACACCGTCAACATCACCATCATCAACATCATCAACATCACTATCATCACCATCAACATCACCATCAACACCATCATCAACAACATCATCAACACCACCATCAACATCAATATCACCGTCATCAACATCATCAAGATCAACATCAATATCAACGTAAACATCACCATCAATATCATCATCAACATCACCATCATCAACATCACCATCATCAACATCACCATCATCAACATCACCATCAACATCATCATCATCAACATCACCGTCATCAACATCATCAACACCATCATCATCATCAACATCACCATCATCAACATCACCACCAACACCACCATCATCAACATCACCATCATCAACAACATCATCAACACCACCATCAACATCATCAACATCACCGTCATCAACATCATCAACATCACCATCAATATCAACATCACCATCATCAACATCACCATCACCGTCATCAACATCATCAACGTCACCATCAATATCATCATCAACATCAACATCATAAACATCACCATGGTGGTCACAAACGCCATGAAGAGAAAGGGCCAATCAAAAGTGTCCCTCCTCCCACCACGGCACTGCCCGTCACAGCGTTGCCCGTCCGGCACCACGAGGAGGTAGTCGGTTGTTTTTTGCCGGACTACCATCACACCACCATCTCTCTATTGTTCGTCCATCAAAGTTGATGATGACCAAGGCACGTTTGTCATTATGTTGGGTTTTGATGAGTGCGCAGATGGCTGAAGAGGCCAATCCGAGCCCGGAATTCCCTGTGGCACACTGGACAGGTCAGGGAGGATGTAGAGCTCTGAGGTGCAGCCACACATCCTTCCTTGGTAGATTTGAGCTGCTGCCTCTTCAAGATGGCACAGGAGCGTCTCCTACTCTCACAGAGGATTGCACCGTCCTGTACTTTTCTTCTTCAGGCAGGTCGGTCCTGTGCTAGGGATTCCCAGCTTTTAAGGTCGAATCCAAAGCTCTTCAAGGAAGCTTTCAGGGTCTGTGAAGGTAGACACAGACAAAGGTCCCCCGTGTAGCCTCTAGCAGACTGTAGGGGCAAGTGCAGCACCACCATCATCACCATCACCCCCCCCCCTCCACCCCGTAGAGGCAACCCGCGTCTGGGTGCTGCCAACGTGGGTTTCGTGCGGTGGCTCCCGGCGGAGTATGACGACAACGCCTCGCTGCCACGCGGCTGGGACGAGGAGAAGCTCCACAACGGATACAAGCTGCCCCCGGTCAGTCGACAGCGCACAAAGATAAAGATCCCCCGTGTAGCCTTAACGGACTGTAGGGGCAAGTGCTGTTAGCGAGCGCCTATCAAGGTTGGAACGGTACACGAGGGGGTGGGTGGCCAGCACCACGCCCGACCGCCTTTGTCTCCCCAGTGGCGATGTTTACTACATACCGCACCAGGTACTCGTTTGAGGCAGAGTCGACCTAGGGGAGGCCCGGGACCGGTTCAGATAATCGTCACTGGTGTTGGCCGTGAGCGGGAATCGAACCCGGGTCTCCAGGTTCGTAGCGCAGCGCAGCGCTAACTACTACACTACCGCTCCCCAGCGCACACACGCCTATACACACACACACCTACACACACACACGTACACACACTCACCTACACACACACACACGCCTATACACACACACACACCTACACACACACACACGCCTATACACACACACACACCTACACACACACACCTACACACACACACGCACACACACGTACACACACTCACCTACACACACACTCACCTACGCACACACACACGCCTATACACACACCTACACACACACGCCTATATACACCCCTACACACACACACCTACACGCACGCACACACACACCTACACGCACACACACGCACACACACTCACCTACACACACACGCCTATACACACAGACACGCCTACACACACACGCACACACACATCTACACGCACACACACTCACCTACACACACACGCCTACACACACACACGCGAACACACGCACATTCACCTACACACATACACATGCACACTCACGTACACACACACACACGCTCGCACACACACACCTACACACACACGCACCCACACACACAGCCCCAAATGAGTTACCTGGTCAGTGTAGTGAACATCGCCACTGGGGGAGAGACAAAGGCGGCCGGGCGTGGTGCTGGCCACCCACCCCCTCTGTGTGTGCCACAGTGCCGGCAGCCTTCATAGGTGCTGCTCGCTCACAGCCACTTGCCCCTACAGCCCTGTCAGAGGCTACACGGGGGACCTTTGTCTGTGTCTACCTTCACAGACACTGCTGCTGCGACTCGCTACCACCAACAGCACTTGCCCCTACAGCCTGCTAGAGGCTACACGGGGGACCTTTGTCTTTGTTTCATGCGCACCTTTGTGAGACGTTGGGTCAACGTTGGTCCTCCCCCCCCCCCCCCACATCTCCCTACCCTTCCTCCCACCCTCCCTCCCTTCTTTCCCTGCACACCAACCCACACCGCACCCACACCGATCACACCCACACACTACACCAACACACCACACACCACCCACATCACACCACACCACTCCCAACCACACCACACCAACCACACCACCCACCCCACACCACAACACCACCCACTCCACACCCACACACCAACCACAACACCACACCACCCACACCACACAACACACACCAACCCACACCCCACACCTACACCACTCACACCACCCACTCCACCCCACACCCAACCGCACAACCACACCCACCATACCCACAACCCCACCACACACCACCCCACAACACCACACCCCACCACCCCACACCACCCCCCACCACACCACACACACCAACACCAACACCCACACACCACCCACACCCCACCATCCACACCACCCACCCACCATCCCACCAACCCCACCTACACCACCCACACAACCCCACCACACCCACCCCACCACCCCACCACCTACCCCACAACCCCACCCCACCACCACCCCACCACCCCCCACCACCACCAACAGGTCCGCGTGGTGTCCAACGAGATCGTGCGCCTGGTGGCGGGCGACGCTTCGTCGCGAGCCGACGAGGCGTCTCTGTCGCACGCCTTCGTGCAGTGGGGCCAGTGGACGGCTCACGACACAGACCTCACCCCGCAGAGCCCCAGCCTCCGCACCTTCGCCGGGGGGCTCGACTGTGCCACCTCGTGCGACCGCCGGGAGCCATGCTTCCCCATCAAGGTGGGGGCGAACGTCGGGCGAACGTTGAGGCAACGTTGGGGGAACGTTGAGGCGACGTCGGGCGGACGGGCGACGTTCAAACGGACGTCGTTGGGTGACGCTGGACGATTTGTTGATGGGGGGGGGAGGTTGAGGCTAGGTTGGTTCTGAAGGTTGGGCGGACGTTGGGGCGACGTTGGGGGAACGTTGGGCGAACGTTGGGCGAACGTCGGAGCAACGTTGGGGCGACGATTGGCGAACGATGGGCGAACATTGAGGTGACGTTGGGCGGACGTTTGGGCAACGTTGCGGCGACGATTGGCGAACGATGGGCGAATATTGAGGCAACGTTAGCGAACGTTGAGCGAACGTTGAGGCAACATTGGGTGAACGTTGAGCGAACATTGAGGCAACGTTGGGCGAACGTTGGGGCGACGTTGGGGCGACATTGGGGCGACAATTAGCGAACGTTGAGCGAACGTTGAGGCAACGTTGGGCGAACGTCAGAGCAACGATGGGGCAACAATTGGCGAACGATGGGTTAATGTTGAGCGAACATTGAGGCAACGTTGGGCGAACGTTGGGCGACGTTGGGGCGACGTTGGGGCGAATGATGGGTGAACGTTGGTATGCAATTGGAACCTTTGGAAGGAAGAACGCGGTTGGATCCTCTGGTAGCCATTGGGCCAATGTCTACGTGAGGGTGGAACTGCTGGTTCAACGTCCCTCGCTCTCCACCAAACTCACAGCGTCTTCTGTCTTCACCCACCCACCACCACCACCTCCTCAACACCACCACCGCTACACCACCACCGCTACACAACCACCACCACCACACTACCATCTCCTCACCACCACCGCTCCACCACCACCGCTCCACCTCCACCTCCACCACCACCACCACTACCCCACCACCGCTACACCACCACCACCGCTCCACTACCACCGCTCCACCACCGCTCCACCACCGCTACACCACCACCACCGCTCCACCACCACCACCACTACCACACCACGTCCTCAACACCACCACCGCTCCACCTCCACCACCACCACCGCTCCACCTCCACCACCACCACCACCCCACCACCACCACCACCACACCACCACCACCACCTCACCACCACCACACCACCACCATCACCACCCACCACCACCCTACCACCACCACCGCCCCCCCACTCTCCCACCCCCCCCAAAAACCACAGGTCCCAGCCAACGACACGCGCATCAACAACACGGTGGACGCCTGCCTCCCCTTCTTTCGCTCGTCGCCCGTTTGCGGCACGGGCGACCGGGCCGCCGTCTTCGGCCTCGCCGGGAACGTGGGAAGTCGACGTCGTGAGCAGCTCAACGGCCTCACGTCCTTCGTGGACGCCGGGCAGGTATACGGCAGCAGCCGAGCCGTGGCCCTGACCCTTCGGGGGGCGGACGGGGAGTTGCGGGTGAACGGCAACTACTCGGACGGAGCGTTCAGCCTCCTGCCCTTCGTGGAGGGCACGGGGGTCAGCGCCTGCGCGCTGAATCGCGACAACGCGCTCGTCGGAGAGGGGGTGCCGTGCTTTCTTGCTGGTGGGTTGTGGTTGGTGGTGGGGGGGTGGGTGGTTGGGGGAGAGTGGGGTGGGGGGGGGTGGGGAGGGTGGGGTGGGGGTGGGGGAGGGGGGGGGGTCGGGTTGGGGGGGTGTGTGGTGTGGGTGGAGTGGGGTTGAGTGGTGGTGTGGGTGGTGGGGGATAGGGTGGTGTGGGTGGTGGGGAGTGGTGGGGGGTTGTGGGGGGTTGTGGGGGGGTTGTGGGGGGGTAGGGTGGTGTGGTAGTAGTTAGTGTGGTGGAGTGGTGGTGTGGGTGGTGGGAGGTGGTGGGGGGTGATGTGGTGTGGTGGAGTGGTGGGGGTAGGGTGGTGTGGTGGTGGTGGGGTAATGGTAGGATGGTGTTGGTGTAGTAGTGTGGTGGTGGTGGTGTGGTGGTGGAGTGGTGTTGGGATGGTGGTGTGGTGGTGGTGGTGTGGTGGTGGTGGAGTGGTGTTGGGATGGTGGTGGCGTTGGGATGGTGGTGCTGATTGATGCTCGCTGCTGCCCTACGATGAAGATGCCTGCTGACGACGATGATGATGACGACGATGATGAAGACGACGATGCTGCCGATGTTGCTGATGATGACGATGCTACTGCTGATGACGATGCCGATGATGACGATCATGCCTGCGATGATGACGACGATGATGATGATGATGACGATGATGATGCCGATGATGATGCCGATGATGACGACGATGATGACGATGCCGATGATGATGATGATGACGATGCCGATGACGACGATCATGCCTGAGATGATGACGATGCTGCTGCCGATGATGATGCCGATGATGATGATGCCGATGATGATGACGATGATGATGATGACGATGATGATGGCGATGATGATGATGACGATGCTGCTGCCGATGATGATGCCGATGACGACGATGATGACGATGATGACTACGATGATGATGCCGATGATGACGATGCTGACGATGATGATGCCGATGATGACGATGCCTACGACGGTTCCGCTGCAGGCGAGGTTCGCACCAACGAGAACAACGCCCTGTTGGCGTTCCACGCCGTGTTCCTTCGCGAGCACAACCGAGTGGCCCGCGCCCTGCGGGAACTCAACCCCCACTGGGGGAGCGACTCCGTCTACTACGAGACGCGCAGGATTGTCGCCTCCTACATGCAGGTAAGGGGGGGGGGGCTGAGTGACTGGGGGGCTGAGTGACTCAGAGACCGGGGGGCTGAGTGACTGAGTGACTGGGGGACTGGGGGCTGAGTGACTCAGAGACTGGGGGGCTGAGTGACTGGGGGCTGAGTGACTCAGTGACTGGGGGGCTGAGTGACTGGGGGGCTGAGTGACTGGGGGGCTGAGTGACTGGGGAGCTGAGTGACTGGGGAGCTGAGTGACTGGGGGGCTGAGTGACTGGGGGGCTGAGTGACTGAGTGTCTGGGGGACAGACTGGCGGACTGATTCACTGGGGGACTGAGTGACTGGGGGACTGGGTGAATGGGGGGCTGAGTGACTCAGAGACTGGGGGGCTGAGTGACTGGGGGACTGAGTGGGGACTGGGTGACTGGGGGGCTGAGTGACTCAGAGACTGGGGGACTGGTTGACTGGGGGGCTGAGTGACTCAGAGACTGGGGGGCTGAGTGACTGAGTGACTGAGTGTCTGTGGGACGGACTGGGTGGCTGATTCACTGGGGGACTGAGTGGGGGACTGGGTGACTGGGGGGCTGAGTGACTCAGAGACTGGGGGGCTGAGTGACTGAGTGACTGGGTGTCTGTGGGACGGACTGGGTGGCTGATTCACTGAGGGACTGAGTGGGGGACTGAGTGACTGGGGGCTGAGTGACTCAGAGACTGGGGGACTGAGTGACTGAAGCGACGTTTTGCCCCGGACGTCGCCCCGGACGTTGACTCAACATCAACCACCCCCCCCCCACCCTTCCCCCCACCATCAACCCCCCACCACCACCCCCCCACCACCTCACCACCACCACTCCACCACCGCTCCATCATCACCACCTCACCACCACCACTCCACCACTATCCACCACCCCCACCACCACCACCATCACCACCACCCCACCACCACCACCACCACTCCCCCACTACCACCCCCACCATCACCACCCACCCCACCACCCCACCACCACTCCCCCACCACCACCCCACCACCAATATCACCAACCTCCCACCACCACCACTCCACCACCACTCCCACCACCACTACCACCACCCCACCACCACCAACACCCCCATCACCCCCCCCACCACCACCACCACCACCACCCCCACCACCTCACCACCACCACCCCACCACCACCACCACCACCACTCCACCACCACCACCCACCACCACCTCACCACCACCACCACTCCACCACCACTCCATCACCACCACCACCACCCCACCACAACTAACCACCACCACCCCCACCCCCCCACCACCACCACCAACTCGCAGGTCATCACGTGGCGCGACTACGTGCCCCGGGTGATCGGACCGGCCGCGGCGAGCACCTGGCTGGGGCCGTACTCCGGCTACAACTCCAGCGCCGACCCCCGCATCTCCAACGTCTTCGCGACGGCGGCCTTCCGCTTCGGACACGTGACCGTGCAGCCGGTGCTTCGGCGGCTCGGCGAGGACTACCAGGAGCACCCCCGCTACCCCAACCTCGCCCTGCACCAGGCCTTCCTGGCGCCCTGGAGGATCGTCGAGGAAGGTAACGGTGGCGTGCGTGTGCGTGTGTGCTTGTGCTTGTGATGGGCACATGTGTGTGTGTGTGGGGAGCGGTAGTGTAAGTGGTTAGCGCTGCGCTATGAACCCGCAGGCTGTATGGGAGATTCTTTGTTTTTTGTTGCGTGTCTGTCAGTGTCGTATGTGTGCATGTGCGCGTGTGCGTGTGTGCGTTTCCCGCGCGCGGCCAACAACACCGAACCGGCCCTGGGCCTCCCCTAGGTCGACTCAGCTTCAAATGATCTACCTTCGTTGCCCGTGGTGTGCGGCAAAACTCGTGCGCCCTTCCAGACTTCACCAGGAGTATACTCCCCCTCGTCCTCCTCTTCCTCGTCCGCAGGCGGAGTGGACCCGGTCCTGCGGGGCCTCATCGGCAGTCCGGCCAAGCAGAACGCCCTCTACGAGATGATGCCCGACGAGCTGAGGGAGAAGCTCTTCGCTCTGACGAGACGCCTGGCCCTCGACCTCGCCTCTCTCAACATGCAGCGCGGCCGAGACCACGGACTGCCTGGTCAGTCAGCCCTCCGTCCGTCCGTCTGTCTGGCCTGCTGTCTGGCCTGCTGTCTGGCCTGCTGTCTGTCTGTCTGTCTGGCGTGATGTCTGTCTGTCTGGCCTGCTGTCTGGCCTGCTGTCTGGCCTGCTGTCTGTCTGTCTGTCTGGCGTGCTGTCTGTCTGTCTGTCTGGCCTGCTGTCTGGCCTGCTGTCTGGCCTGCTGTCTGTCTGGCGTGCTGTCTGTCTGTCTGTCTGGCCTGCTGTCTGTGTGGCCTGCTATGTGCCTCTCCTACTGTTCGTCTGGACTGCTGTCTGTCCATCTGTCTGGCCTGCTGTCTGTCTGTCTGGCCTTCTATCTGTCTGGCCTAGTGTCCGTCGGTCTGGCTGTCTGTCTGTCTGGCCTAGTGTCTGTCTGGCCTGCTGTCTGTCTGTCTAGCCTGCTGTTTGTCTGTCTGGCCTTGTGTCCGTCTGTCTGGCCTGCTGTCTGTATGTCTGTCTGACCTGCTGTCTGTCTGTCTGTCTGGCCTAGTGTCCGTTTGTCTGGCCTGTTGTTTGTCTGGCCTAGTGTCCGTCTGTCTGGCCTGTTGTTTGTCTGGCCTAGTGTCTGTGTGGCTTGCTGTGTGCGTGCCTCTCCAGCTGTTCGTCTGGCCTGCTGTCTGTCTGGCCTTGTGTCCGTTTTTCCTACTGTCTGTCTCTCCATCTGCCCGGCTGTCTGTCCTGCTGTCCGGGTGGTTCTGGATGGGAGCTATGGGCTGGTAACCCCTCCACTTGCAACCTAAATACCACTAAACTACGTGGAAAAAAACGAACTAAGCTTGTGCCGGAGGCCCCGGGGGGACAGGCGTCTATGACGTCTCTTGGCCAAACCCCATTTGGCGGAGCCAAGAGATTGAATCTTTACCCTCGGGGCTCCTCCAGAAACAACAAAAAGCCACTTCGTGTGGCCACGTGGAATGTTCAAACGCTCACTGCGGAGGAGAGGCTGCCACTCCTCTGTCGGGAGCTGAACCGGTACCGCCTGGATCTCTGTGGTATTCAGGAGGTCTGGCTCTTGTTCCAGTCACCATGAGGGTTGGACAGTTCTCTACTCGGGGTCTGAGACTGCCAAACAACAGGGAGTGGCTCTTCTTTTGAACAAAAGAATGAAGGGGGTGTGGGAGAATGGCGGTGACGTGTCAAAATGTCAAAAGCTCTGAGCCCCAGGTGACTGTTGGCTTGCCTTCCCATCAATCAGGGGCGAGGAGTGGTCGTGGTTACTTATGTCCCCACCGAAGGCTAACAGCAGTGGAGGGATGCAGGCAAGGCCGATGAGTCAGATGTCTTCTATGACCTCCTGTCACAGGTGCTGGCTAAAGTGGCCACTCGGGACAGAGTCATCTTGTTGAGTGACTTCAATGCCCGAGTTGGTCATGATGCTGGCACCTGGGCAGGAGTGATTGGAAGGCATGGGCCAGATCAGCTCAATAACATCGGAAGGAAGCTGCTGGACTTGGGCTTGTAATTACCAACACGCTGTTCCAGCATCGCATCTATGCAAGGTCATGCCGGGCAGAGATAATCTCCCAAGTGAACTGCGGAGGGAGGATGGCGTTTGTGCACAGACTGCCCTACACGACATCATAACAACAGTCTGGGCCACTGGACGGGTTCCACAGGATTGTAACAACTACAGGGGCATCTCGCTTTTCAGTATACCAGGAAAGGTCCTGGCAAGGATTATTCAACATCGCCTTGCCAGGCACGCTGAGGAGAGGCTTGCGGAGCCCAAATGTGGTTTCAGGAAAGGGCGGTCCTGCACAGACGCCATATTTTCTCTCCGTCAGCTACATCAGAGGTGTTGGGAATTTCAACAGGACCTCCATCTCTGCTCTATTGACCTGGTCAAGGCCTATGATACCATCAGTAGGCCTGGGCTCTGAGTTGTTCTTCGTACTTTCGGAGTCCCTGGTTCTCTGCTCACAATCATTAAGGACCTTCATGATGGTGGACGGGCCTGAGTAAAACTACGTGGCCGGGAATCAGAGCCATTCCCTGTACACCTTGGAGGAGCAACAGGGATGTCTACTGACTCCCACATTATTTAACACGGAGTTTGTGAACCATTCCATAGCTCTATTGGAGGAATTTAAATCTGGTACAGATGAAATGGGAGGCTGATCGATGCCTGGGTGCATCGAGGGATGGCTCCCTATGGTTCAACCACATTACGTATGCTGATGATCTGCTTATTGCTGCTCACTCTGAGGACGAGTTGAAGGTGCTGCTGCTGAACCTGGAGCTTGCCACTAAGAGGTGGGGCCTTAGCGTCAGCCCCTCCAAACTCAGCACCTGCCAGGGTATTTTGTACCATCGGACACTCCACCCCCACAACTCCCAATTGGTGATGGGGCAGTTGTGGAGAGAGTGAAGAGTTTCCCATACCTGGGCAGTGTGCTCATGACCGGCTCTAGTTGGAGAGCAGAGGTCACACTCCGAATCAGTCGAGTGGCATTATCTTTTCATCATTTGCGTAACGCTGTGTGGAAGCCACCTGAAATGTCGCTCCACACGAAGCTTCGGGTCTTCTCGGCCACGGTCATGCACTCCCTTCTCTACGCTTGCCAAACGTGAACCCCACTAATCGAACATCTTTGCTGGTTAGTAACATTCAGGCTGGCCTGCCTACGATCCATCCTGGGTTTAACCATTCAACTTCAAGGACAGTGCATAGATTATCAGAGTTATGTTTTTTGTTTGCATTATGGCTGCAGGTATTGTGGTTTATGCAAACATGACTCCTTGTAAAAAAAGGTGTCAGTTTTGTTGCCAAATAGAAGGGTAAAAAAACAATTATCGATGTTGGTGATGTTATTGGTCGTGAGTGGGAATGGAACTCGGATCATTGCTAACCGCTGTCCCACCGCTCCCACCCCACCTTTGCCCACCCACTGCTCTCCCCACCACCACCACCACTCCAGGCTACAACGCTTGACGTAGCTTTTGCGAGCTCCAAAGGCGTCAGCGCGTAACAATCAGCGACGTGGCCACTCAGATCTTAGCGGTGGCGGTGGCTGAGATTGGAACTCGATGCATTGCTAACCGCTGTCCCACCGCTCCCACCCTACCTTTGCCCACCCACTGCTCTCCCCACCACCCCCACCACCGCCACTCCAGGCTACAACTCTTGGCGTAGCTTCTGCGGGCTCCCCGTGCTGCAGACTCAGGCCGAGTTGGCGGCGGCGTGGAACAGCAGCGAGGTGGCAGGCCGCGTGTTGGCGCTGTACGGCAGCGCCGATAACGTGGACGTGTGGCTGGCGGGACTCCTGGAGGTGCCGGTGCCGGGGGGACGAGTGGGGCCGCTGTTCTCATGCCTCCTGGCACGACAGTTCGCGCTCATACGCGACGGAGACCGGTGGGTGGGTGGGTGTGGTGTGTGGGGGTGTGGGTGGGTGGGTGGGTGTGTGGGTGAGTGGGTGGGTGGGTGTGTGGGTGAGTGGGTGAGTCGGTGAGTGGGTGAGTGGGTGAGTGAGTGAGTGAGTGTGGGGGACGAGTGGGGCCGCTGTTCTCCTGCCTCCTGGCGCGACAGTTCGCGCTCATACGCGACGGAGATCGGTGGGTGGGTGGGTGGGTGTGGTGTGTGGGGGTGTGGGTGGGTGGGTGAGTCGGTGAGTGGGTGGGTGGGTGAGTGGGTGAGTGGGTGGGTGGGTGAGTGGGTGTGGGTGAGTGGGTGGGTGGGTGGGTGAGTGGGTGGGTGGGTGTGTGGGTGTGGGTGGGTGCGTGAGTGGGTGGGTGGGTGTGTGGGTGGGTGTGTGGGTGATTGGGTGTGGGTGGGTGTGTGTGTGGGTTAGTGGTTGTGTAGGTGTGTGCGTGAGTGGGTGTGGGGTGTGGGTGAGTGGGTATGGGTGGCAGTGGTGATGACGGTGACGGTGGTGGTGGTGATGAAGATGGTTGTGGTGGTGATGATGTTGGTGGTGGTGATGACGGTGATGTTGGTGGTGGTGATGGTGGTGGTGATGTTGGTGATGATGTTGGTGGTGGTGATGTTGGTGATGATGTTGGTGGTGGTGATGACGGTGACGGTGGTGGTGGTGATGAAGATGGCTGTGGTGGTGATGATGTTGGTGGTGGTGATGATGATGGTGGTGATGATGTTGGTGGTGGTGATGTTGGTGGTGATGGTGGTGGTGGTGATGGTGGTGGTGATGGTGGCTGTGGTGGTGATGATGGTGGTGGTGATGAAGATGGCTGTGGTGGTGATGGTGTCTGTGGTGGTGATGACGGTGGCGGTGGTGATGGTGGTGGTGATGATGGTGGTGGTGATGATGGTGGTGATGAAGATGGCTGTGGTGGTGATGACGGTGGCGGTGGTGATGTTGGTGGTGATGATGTTGATGGTGGTGATGTTGGTGGTGATGATGATGATGACAGTGGCGGTGATGATGATGATGATGATGTCGATGACCGTGACGGTGACGGTGGCGCTGAACCCCGGCTGCAGGTTTTGGCACGAACGCGAGGGCCTCTTCACCCCGGCGCAAGTCGCCGAGCTACGCAACGTCAGCCTCTCACGTCTCATCTGCGGCAACAGCGGCGTCCGCAAGGTGCCCCTGGAGGCCTTCCTATACCAGCCGTACCCCCAGGGGTTCGTCGACTGCCAGGAGCTGCCCCCGATCAACCTCCTGCCGTGGAAGGAGGAGACGCAGAGTGAGGACAAAGCCTCGGAGACACCGCACCACCAACAGCATTACTGCGCTACCACCAATACGCTACCACGACCACCACGGCACCACCATCACGGCGCTAGCATGCTACCACCATGCTACTACCACCACCACGCTACCACCACTACGCTACCACGCTACCACCACCACCACGCTACCACCACGCCACTACCACCACCACCACGGCACCACCACCACGGCACCACCAGGCCACTACCACCACGCCACTACCACCACGCCACCACCAATAGAGACCCACAGAGACTCGTATATAGCCATAGAGACACACAGAGAAACCCATACTGATAGAGACCAATAGAGACCCACTACTACCACTACTACTACTATACTATTACCACTACTACCACTACTACTATACTACTACTACCATTACTACTACTACTACCACCACTACTACTACTACCACTACTACTACCACCACTACTACTATACTACTACTACACTACTACCACTACTACTACTATACTATTACCACTACTACTATACCACTGCACTACTACCACTACTACTACCACCACCACCATTACCACTACTACTACCACTGCTGCTGCAACTGACCCTGGTGTGTGTGTCTGTGTGTCTGTGTGTGTCTGTGTGTGTGTGTCTGTGTGTGTCTCTGTGTGCGTGTCCTAGATACTCCATGCGGTCCGGTGCCCTCCGTGCCCAACTCACACTTTTCCATGTGTGGTGGCGGTGGTGGCGGTGGTGTCGGTGGTGTCACCCGCGTGTTGGCGGTGCGCTACGAGTGCCGAGACGGCTTCGACATCGTCGGCGCGGACACCATCAGCTGTGTGGGCAACTCCTGGGGGGATGCACCCAGGTGTCGTGGTGAGTGATGAGTGGTGGTGGTGGTGGTGATGGTGGTGATGGTGGAGTTGGTGGTAGAGGCGGTGGCGATGGTGGTGGTGGAGTAGGTGGCGGCGGTGGCGGTGGTGGCGGTTAATGTGGAGGTGGTGGCGGTTGTGGTGATGGCGGTGGTGGAGGTGGTGGTGGAGGTGGTGATGGTGGTGTTGGAGGTGGTGGTGGCGGTTGTGAAGGTGGCGGTGGTGGCGGTGGATGTGGAGGTGGTGTTGGTCGTGGTGGTGGCGGAGGTGGTGGTGGTGGTGGAAGTAGTGTAGTTGGTGGTAGAGGCGGTGGTGGCGGTGGTGGTGAAGGCTGCCTGTCTGTCCCCCTGTCTCTCTGTCTGTCTGTCTCTCTGTCTGTCTGCCTCTCTGTCTCTCTGTCCCCCTGTCTCTCTGTCCCCCTGTCTGTCTGCCTGTCTCTCTCTCTGTCTCTCTGTCTCACTGTCTCTCTGTCCCCCTGTCCCCCTGCCTGTCTCTCTCTCTGTCCACCTGTCTCTCTGTCTCACTGTCTCTCTGTCTCTCTGTTCCCCTGTCTGTCTGCGCCACCGCCAGCGATTGATCCGTGCGCGGGGACCCCGCCGCCGTGCGCCTCCGAGCCCAACTCGGCCTGCCTGCCCACGGCGGAAGCCAGCGGCGGCCACCGCTGCGTCTGCCTCGCCGGGTTCCAGCCCGGAACGTCGGGACGGGGATGCGTCGGTGAGGGGGACGCGGCGAGAGGGGCAGAGAGACACAGAGAGAGAGAGAGAGACAGAGACAGAGAGACAGAGAGAGACAGAGAGAGACAGAGAGACAGAGAAACAGAGAGAGGCAGAGAGACACAGAGAGACAGAGAAACAGAGAGAGGCAGAGAGACACAGAGAGGGAGACAGAGAGAGGGAGAGAGAGACAGAGAGACAGAGAGACAGAGAGAGACAGAGAGAGAAATGTAGAGAGACAGAGAGAGGGAGAGACAGAGAGAGAGAGACAGAGACAGAGAGACAGAGAGAGACAGAGAGAGAAATGTAGAGAGACAGAGAGAGGGAGAGACAGAGAGAGAGAGACAGAGAGAGAGAGGCAGAGAGAGAGAGAGGGACAGAGAGACAGAGAGAGACAGAGAGAGGGACAGAGAGACAGAGAGAGACAGAGAGAGGGAGAGAGACAGAGAGAGAGACAGAGAGAGAGAGAGACAGACATAGAGAGACAGAGAGAGAGAGACAGAGAGAGAAATGTAGAGAGACAGAGAGAGGGAGAGAGACAGAGAGAGAGACAGAGAGAGAGAGGCAGAGAGAGAGAGAGGGACAGAGAGACAGAGAGAGACAGAGAGAGGACAGAGAGACAGAGAGAGACAGAGAGAGGGAGAGAGACAGAGAGAGAGACAGAGAGAGAGAGAGACAGACATAGAGAGACAGAGAGAGAGAGACAGAGAGAGAGAGAGACAGAGAGAGAGAGACGTAGAAAGAGACAGAGAGAGGGAGAGAGAGAGAGACATAGACTCACACAGAGAGACAGAGACACACAGAGACTCACATAGAGAGACATAGACTTACACAGAGAGACAGAGACAGAGAGAGACAGAGAGAGGGAGAGAGACAGAGAGAGACAGAGAGAGTGAGAGACATAGACTCACATAGAGGGACATAAACTCACACAGAGAGACAGAGACTCACACAGAGAGACACAGACTCACACAGAGAGACAAAGACACAGACTCACACAGAGAGACACAGACTCACAGAGAGAGAGACACAGACTCACACAGAAAGACACAGACTCACAGAGAGACACAGACTCACACAGAGAGACATAAACCCACACAGAGAGACTCACACAGAGAGACACAGACTCACACAGAGACACAGACTCACACAGAGAGACACAGACTCACACAGAGAGACTCACACAGAGAGACATAGATTCACACAGACAGATACAAACTCACACAGAGAGACTCACACAGAGAGACACAGACTCACACAGAGAGACAAAGACACAGACTCACACAGAGAGACATAAACTCACACAGAGAGACTCACACAGAGAGACAGAGACTCACACAGAGAGACACAGACACACAGAGACTCACACAGAGAGACACAGACTCACACAGAGAGACACAGACTCACACAGAGAGACTCACACAGCTACCCACCCCGTCACGTGACTCACCCCCCCCCCCCCCCCCACTATGCGCGCAGTGACCCCAGATGCCTCCAGCGGCCTACTCATCACCACTGTGGTCATCAGCGCCGTGGCGCTAGCCTCCATCTTGGCCGTGGGCATCGCCATCTGGTGAGCGGGCGGCATGGGTCAGAGGTCGCAAACGGGTTTTGATTCCTTACCCGTACCCGTACCCGCCGCACCAGGGTAGCAAACAGGTACCCGTACCCAGCCGTACCCGTACCCTACCCGTACCCGGCCGGGTACGGGTAGGGTACGGGTATCGGGTACCCGATTGCGACCTCTGGGATGAAGCCATGTTGCAGGCGCGGGTGGGTTGATTCTAGGAACTGGCATTGTGAGAAGAGACAAGACGTTGGGAAATGAGTGACAAACGGTGACTCACCAGTGACTCACGGCCTACCCGTACCCGTACCCGGCAACACCAGGGTCGCAAACGGGTAGGGTATGGGTATCGGGTAGGGTACGGGTATCGGGTAGGGTACGGGTATCGGGTAGGGTACGGGTATCGGGTAGGGTACGGGTATCGGGTAGGGTACGGGTATTGGGTAGGGTACGGGTATCGGGTAGGGTACGGGTATCGGGTAGGGTACGGGTATCGGGTAGGGTACAGGTATCGGGTAGGGTACGGGTATCAGGTAGGGTACGGGTATTGGGTAGGGTACGGGTATCGGGTAGGGTACGGGTAGGGTACGGGTATCGGGTAGGGTACGGGTAGGGTACGGGTATCGGGTAGGGTACGGGTATCAGGTAGGGTGCGGGTATCGGGTAGGGTACGGGTATCAGGTAGGGTACGGGTATCGGGTAGGGTACGGGTATCGGGTAGGGTACGGGTATCGGGTAGGGTACGGGTATCGGGTAGGGTGCGGGTATCAGGTAGGGTACGGGTATCGGGTAGGGTACGGGTATCAGGTAGGGTACGGGTATCGGGTAGGGTACGGGTATCGGGTAGGGTACGGGTATCAGGTAGGGTACGGGTATCGGGTAGGGTACAGGTATCGGGTAGGGTACGGGTATCGGGTAGGGTACGGGTAGGGTACGGGTATTGGGTAGGGTACGGGTATCGGGTAGGGTACGGGTATCGGGTAGGGTACGGGTATCGGGTAGGGTACGGGTATCAGGTAGGGTGCGGGTATCGGGTAGGGTACGGGTATCGGGTACCCGGTTGCGACCTCTGGCGTGGGTTCCCCCACGTCGCGAGGCCGACGTTCGCCCGACGTCGCGGGCTGACGTTGGGCGAACGTTGGGTCGACGTCGGAAACTACACTTCTATATACTACCATACACTACTGTACACCACTACTATACACTGCACTATACACTACATTATACACTACACTACTATACACTTCACTTCTATATACTACACTACCATACACTACACTACTACACTAGTATACACTACACACTACTATACACCACTACTATACACTACACTATACACTACACTATACACTACACTACTATACACTACACTATACACTACACTATACACTACACTATACACTACACTATACACTACACTATACACTACTATACACTACACTATACACTACACTATACACTATACACTGCACTACTATACACTACACTATACACTACACTACTATACGCTACACTACTATACGCTACACTACTATACACTACACTATACACTACACTACTACACTACACTACTATACACTACACCACAATGCTACATTGAGGACTAATTTCTTGAGAACTGCTTTGTGTACGTATACGTAACGCACTGTGTGTGTGTCTGTCTGTCTCTCTCTCTCAACCACAGCACGTACCTCAAGCGCATGAAGAGGACCCTGCTGGCCAAAGAGTCGAATGTTTACGGCAACAAATACGCAACCACGTGATCCACGGTCGTTCGACGTCTCGCTCGGTCGATCGGTTAGTCGATCAATCGCTCGATCGATTGATCGCTCGCTCGCTCGCTCGCTCGGTCTGACTGAGATGACTGGCTTCCTGATGTGGGGTTTGACATAGAGGGTTCTAGATTTGAAGCTTTCGTGACTGCAAGGATTCATACTCTTCGGTTTTTTCGGTAAAGTCACGTAGGGAAATAAATAAATATTTCATGAAAATAAATCAATTAAATCACGACGTTTCGGAGGCAACACAAGCTTCCTTCATCAGGTGTAAAAGGCAGAGCAAAATAACTAGTGAGTTAATTGATTTATTTTCATTTTATTTTTTTACCTACGTGACTTTACCGAAAAAACCTAAGAGTATAGAGGGTTCTTTTGAGCTTGTACCACGACAGATCAATTTGGATGGAAGTCGAAAGGAGCTGTGTATTTTTGTATAATTGTATAAAATAATATAAATGTATACTCCTGATTTGTTTAAAAAAAATAAAATTCTTAAATTAATATGAGCCGTGGACCGCCTGTTCTTCATTGGGTTACGACTCGCATTGAGGTCAAGTTTCAGCTGTTTGGGAATGTGAGTGAATGAGTGGGTGGGTGAGTGAGTGGGTGAGTGTGTGAGTGAATGAGTGGGTGGGTGAGTCAGTGGGTGAGCGTGTGAACAGGTGAGGAAGTGAATGTGTGAGTTGGTCAGTGAGCGAGAGAGTGGGTGAGTAAGTGGATGACTGAGTGGGTGAGTGAGGGAGTGGGTGAGTAAGTGGGTGAGTGAGATGTGTCCGTGAGCGAATGAATGGATCAGCGAGTGAGTGGGTGCGTAAGAGGGTGAATGAGTCGGTGTGTGAGTGGGTGAGTGGGTGATTGCGTGTGTGAGTGGATGAGTGGGTGTGTGAGTGGGTGATTGAATGTGTGAGTGAGTGTGTGGGTGTGTGAGTGGATCAGTGAGTAGGTGAGTGAGTGGGTGGGTGAGTATGTGAGTGAATGAGTGGGTGAGTGAGTGGGTGGGTGGGTGTGTGAGTGGATCAATGAGTATATGAGTGAGTGGGTGAGTGAGTGGGTGAGTGAGTGTGTGAGTGAGTTAATGAGTGGGTGAGTGGGTGGGTGGGTGTGTGAGTGGATCAGTGAGTAGGTGAGTGAGTGGGTGAGTGAGTGGGTGTGTGAGCGGGAGAGTGGGTGATTGAGTGTGTGAGTGAGTGAGTGGGTGTGTGAGTGGATCAGTGAGTAGGTGAGTGAGTGGGTGGGTGAGTATGTGAGTGAATGAGTGGGTGAGTGAGTGGGTGGGTGTGTGAGTGGATCAATGAGTATATGAGTGAGTGGGTGAGTGAGTGTGTGAGTGAGTGTGTGGGTGAGTGAGTGGGTGGGTGTGTGAGTGGATCAGTGAGTGGGTGAGTGAGTGGGTGGGTGAGTGTGTGAGTGAGTGAATGCGTGGGTGAGTGAGTGGGTGGGTGTGTGAGTGAATCAGTGAGTAGGTGAGTGTGTGGATGAGTAGAGAAGGGATCGTATGGCGATGCCCTCCCTTTTCTCCAATTGCCAAAGGTGGACAAACCTAATTAAACATCTTTACCGGTTAAAAACATTTAGCCTAACCTGTCTACGATCCATCCTGGGTTTAGGCTCCAGGCCGAATTATGTGAGTAGAGTGAGAAGAGAGGCAGGAGAGTGCGTGGAGTGAAGTGAGATGAGACACAGGGTAGTGCGTGGAGGGGGAGGAGAGTGAGATGAGAGGGAGAAGCAGGATAGTGCGTGGAGTGGAGTGAGATGAGAGGCAGGAGAGTGTGTGGAGGGGAGTGAGATGAGTTGGAGAGACAGGGGAGTGCGTGGAGGGGAGTGAGATGAGAGGGAGAGACAGGGGAGTTTGTGGAGTGGAGTGGAGTGAGATGAGAGGGGAGAGACAGGAGAGTGCGTAGAGGGGAGTGGAGTGAAATGAGAGGGGGGGGAGAGTGCGTGGAGTGGAGTGAGATGAGAGAGACAGGGGAGTGCCTGTAGGGGTGTTCCCTTTTTCACTTTTAATCTCGATTGAGTTTCTGGTTGAGCTGAGAACGGTCGCGGAATCTGTGGCGGGGTCTTGTCTTTTTGGTTGCAGCCTTCTCGTGAGAAAATAAAGTCCCATTTTAACCCCTAACCCAAAACCAAAACAACCGCATACACTCAAAAACATCCTGAACTAGAGAACGGTGGGTTACGAGAAATGTAGCTTTCTTTCAACAATCACTCTTCTTTTTAAAATCCTTTATATTAAGTTTGCTTGCTTGCTTGCTTACTACCTTGCAAATCTTTCGGTCGTTTTTAACCCACTTCCCGTGATCCAATCGAGCTGACATTTTGCACACAGACTCGTTGTGCGTGACAATTAATGTTCGTGAAAAAACATTTCCACAATTTTACACTTTTTAGGACAAAAATATTATATTTAATTACCAATTGCTTAATGGTGGCAGGCAATCATCTGACCCATAGGTGGCAGCCATCTCAAGGCAGAGGACGAGAGGACTCTAGCCGCCACGCATATAAAGGATTTATAGTGAAAAACTTTGTTTTTACGGGTTAATTTTTTGCACGTGATGTTTTCCAAGGCTTAAATATATCTAGACTCATCTACTTACGAACATTCGACTTACGCACTTTCAGAGATGCGAACAAACCTCTACGTATGTCTAGTTGCAGCTGTTCGGATCTAGAGTCGTAAGTTCAACCGCCGCGCAATAGATGGCGGTGGTGGCATCGACAACCGCACAACGTGAAGACACCAGTGGCATCGACATCTGCAGGAGATTGTTCAACTTTTAAAGCCATTCCTCGTGTTTAGTGTACATGCCGTACGACATGTTTGGAAGCGACAGGAGTCATCGGCAGAGGTCGCAACCGGGTACCCGATACCCGTACCCTACCCGATACCCGGCTACCCGTACCCGGCCGAGTACGGGTAGCCGTTTGCGACCCTGGTGCGGCCGGGTACGGGTAGCCGGGTAGACCGTGAGTCACTGGTGAGTCACCGTTCGTCACTCATTTCCCAACGTCTTGTCTCTTCTCACAATTCAATTCACCTGTATTATGAGAACTACAATATACACAACATACAACACACTATACCATACACTACACACTACACTACACACCTATATACACTAATTTACAACTGTTAAGAAGCTTCTTCTTGGTTCTTTCGGTAAAGTCGCGTAGAAGGGAAATAATAAAATAATAAAAATAAAACATAATAAAAATAATTCTCACGACGTTTCGGCCACAACGCAAGCAGCCGTCCTCAGACGAAGAACAGGTCTGAATTCAGAAAGACAGCGTCTGAATTCTGAATTCTAAATTCAGACACTGTCTTTCCGACAGGAAATGTTGACTACCTCGCTTGGTATGCAGGAGGTCGTTGGTTTGATACCGACCTTAACGCCATGGTGGCTAGGAGATGTTGACTACCTCGCCCGGAATTCATGAGGTCGTGTGGGTCAATCCCGACCCTGAAGCCTGTTGTATATTTGGAGTTTGCATTCTCTCTCTATCCCCATGGTGAGCTGTTGACTACCTCGCCTGGTTTGCAGGAGGTCGTGGGTTGGTTCCCGACCCAAACGCCATGGTGACTAGGATATGTTGACTACCCCGCCTGGTATACAGGAGGTCGTGTGTTCGATCATGACACTGATGATGCCAACACCACGCCCGGCCGTTTTTGTCTCCCTATTAGCAATGATTACGCACCGCACCAGGTACTTATTTGAGGCTGAGTCGACCTAGCGGAGGCCCATGACCGGCTCAGATAATCGTCAATGGTGCTGTTGGCCGTGAACGGGAATCAAACCCGGGTCTTTGCCGGGTTTTGTAGCGCAGCGTAGCGCTAACCGCTGCTACACTGCGGTGTGTAAACCACTCACACACACAGGCGGGCATCTCACGCCGCTAACTTCACCTTTCCTGACGAAAGTGAGTCATAGAAAGCACACAGAATGCGTGTGCACAGTCTGACACGTGTGAAAGTTTTAGTTCGTGATTTTTTTCTGTTTTGCCTGCCATCAGCACCGTCCTCCATCAATATTGTGACAGAGGAACCCATCAAGTCACTTCACCACCGGCCCCCTCACCTGAACACCCGCCCGCTAACCCACCCGCTCACCTGACCACAGGCCCACTCACCCACCCGCTCACCTGACCACTCGCCCGCTCACCCACCCACTCACCTGACCACCCGCCCGCTAACCTGACCACTTGCCCGCTCACCCACCCAACCACACACTCACCTGACTACCCACCCACCCACTCACCTGACCACCCACCCACTCACCTGACCACTCGCCCGCTCACCACCCACCCACCCACACACTCACCTGACTACCCACCCACCCACTCACCTGACCACCCACCCACTCACCAGACCACCCGCCCGCTCACCTTACCACTCGCCCGCTCAACCACCCACCCACTCACCTGACCACCCACCCACCCACTCACCTCACCACCCACCCGCTCACCTTACCACTCGCCCACTCACCCACCCACACACTCACCTGACTACCCACCCACCCACTCACCTGACCACCCAACCACTCACCTAACCACTCGCCCTCTCACCCACCCACCCACACACTCACCTGACCACCCACACACTCACCTGACCACTCGTACGCTCACCTGACCACTCGCCCGCTCACCCACACACTCACCTGACCACCCACCCACCCAATCACCTGACCACCCACCCACTCACCTGACCACTCGCCCGCTCACCCACCCACCCACTCGACCACTCGCCCGCTCACCCACCCACTCACCTGACCACCCACCCACTCACCTGACTACCCACCCACTCAAATGATCACCCACCCACTCACCTGACCACTCGCGTGCTCACCCACCCACCCACCCACCTGACCAACCATCCGCCCACCCACCCACGCACTTGACGCAGCTGCTATATTAACGGCGCCCAGACTCGATCGCTCTCCGCTGCGCGCTGTGTCTCGGAGCGACGAGGTGTCCTACGGTCCGCCGGGCTTCTGAAATCCGTCAAATGAGCGAAGGTGCTTCGCTTCTTAAGCGGCGCAGCAGAGCGAGCGAGGAGTGACACCATGGGTCGCCGTGCTTTGCTGGATCCTGTCTTAGAGACGCTGCTGCTGCTGCTGCTTCTGCCTCTCAGGTGAGAGACCCAGGTCAATGCCATCTGCATGGTGTTTTGTTTAACAAGTTCAAACAAATTTCAGTATAAGGGCCCCGCTGAGCTGCTGTGTAGATATTTTTTACAGAAGCACCGACCTGGCCACCAAAGATGATAGCAGCTCAGCCAAGTAGCTGATTTCATCGTCGTGTGGCAATTACAGACGCATGGAGATCCATGGAGATGCGTCTCTACGCGGGCGCGCCTCTAATCAGCGTGGAAGCCATTGCCCATCTCGTGGGCACTTCGCCACCCGTCGTTCTCCCCTTTGTTCTTTTCATTGACTACCAATCAAACTTTTAATTGATAAGAAGGTTCCCTGCTGTTGACCTCATGGGCTGTCACGATG